GAGGGAGGGAGGGAGGGAGGGCGGCCGAGGGGCGGGCTCCGGCGGTGCCGGGCCGCTCCCCACCCTGAGCGCTTCTTCTTTGTGTCCAGGTGGCGAAGGGCCGCCGGGCTGCCCGCCGCCATGGGGGTGCAGGACCGGCCCCAGTGCTTCTTCGAGATAGAAATCAACCGGGAACCAGGTAAGGTTTGCCTCTCTGACACAGGCATTCCTCTCAAGTGTTGTGTTTCCTGTTTTGGGCTGTTTTTTTTTTTTTTTTTTAACCATATTTTTGCCTTAATAATTGACCCGAGGCGTTAGCAATGAGTTTGGCCATTGATGTGTTATTTCTCAGTTTTTAGTAACTTTTGGTGCTTACTGGGGTGCTGGGTGCTTCCCCCCCCGCCTTGCTGTTGATTTTCATTTGCATACATGAAGAGAGAGGTTCGGTGAGTCTGTCTAACTATTCTGAAGATAGAAAGCTTTCTCTATTAGAAGTGCTGCCTGGTTCTGTATTACATCTTTACGGTTTTATAAACTGTGGAATATTGGGGCGAGTTGTGAAGAAACTGGAGAGGTAGTCCTAGAAGTATTTTTAATCACACAGTAATTAAAACTGGAAAAGGACCTCAGGAGGTCATCTGGTCTAAATCTTTCCTCCTCCTGCTCAAAATGAATCTTCTGAACATAGAGGAAGAATTGACCATAGAAGCATAGAATGTCTCCCCGGGTGGCCTGTTTAAAAAAAAAAAAAACAAAACCCAATTAAAACAAATCCATCTCTTAACTCATATTTTTGCTATGGGAAGTGTAATCACCTGTAAGTGGTAGACTGTGAGTTTTAATCCTGGAATAGTTACTTGATTCCCTCTTCTGTTTTCCCTACTCTGTAAAAATGGTCATACAGATTTACTTACCCATCTTTCTGAACATGAATTTATCGATGCGTATTGGTTGTCTCACATAGACTCGGTGCTCTGTATCGATACTACTTGTCTCTCAGAAAAATGAATAAATGTGGTGGCTTCATTATGCTTTCACTTTCATTTTCTGCTTCAATGTCTCTCTGAAAGCCTTTGAAATAAGTGTTTATATCTCTGCATTTTCAAATTTCAGTTGCATTCAAATGTAAGTGTAACCCATTTGGCTTGCTTTTTGTTTTCACCAAAATTCCTGAAGACTTAATTCTAACTTCAGTGATCTGATAGGGCATATCTATAAATCTGTTGCTATTGTAACTTCTATTTGAGTTGCTTTAATTGAAAGTGCCTTTTCTGAATACTTTTACTGGAGAGAAAAATGTTAATCTAAATGGAGTTTTAACATTTTCTGTTGCATTAAATTCAGATTTGCTATGGAATAAGACTACTAAAAATGTTTTAGGTTGGGTAAGCTTCCGGTTTAGGAATGGTAGTTTGATGAAATTGGTTTATAGCAAAGACAATTTATCCTTCATCTCACTTGCTTTTAATCTTTGTTAGCTTTTTTGTTGTTGTTTTGACTCTCCATCTGAGGAATCTCTGCCTGTGCTGTTTTCTTTGGCTCTTTCTTTATGCAGACATTCCTGTTCCCATTTTATAATACCTCCTGCTGCCTGCCTTGTCCCCTTCTCAGCCTTGTGCTGTGCATCACGAGTGAAAGTGGATTACCTTGTTTTCCCTCACATCCACTTGGGTTTGATGACTGATAGCGGTGTCAGAGAGGAATTGCAGCGTTAGTGTTCTTGGTGGTGCAGAGCTTTTGGTACCTGGAGTAGACACAGGGGCTTTGGCTCTGTTCATGGCTGTCTGTCTTTATTTTCTTTTTAAAGTAACAGGAATCTCCCAGCTGTCTATCAAATTCAGAGTCCTGCTGTTTTTATTGCATCTGACTAATGGCTTGTATTTTTGCAGGAAAATGTGCCAATTGGTAAAATGTTGGTATGGGGATTTGTGTGTAATCTGGTTATAGTATTTTATTCTAGTGTCTGTTTATAAACTCACTATGCAACTGTGTCTCGGGATTTAAGGTTATATTTAAAAAGCTTGAACCTTGCTGTAAGATGACCTTCAAAAGCGGAATCAAGTATGAATGATAAAGCAGTGCTTCCAGATGACATGAAGCACTAACTCTGAGAGGTACTCTCCTGCTGATACTAGTGAGGTATTTATTTTAACTTTTAAACTGCCGGAAGATTTTCAAATTAACATTTTGCTTACTGGACTTTAATCAAGTAAACCGATTCTTATTAGATGTAGGGAGAAAGAACTGGGGAACAGAACAATCCTGCATTTTTTTGCTAGCCAAGATATAAGGCATTGCCCTCACTCTGTCTACACGGAAAAGCTGAACTCTCATCTCTCCACAAAACGCAGAGAATAAGAGGACGCGCCTCTCAGTACTGGAGACATCTCTTTGCCTGCAGAAAACAAAACTGTGTCATTTTTAACAGTGTAGGTTGCTTGGAGTCCAAAAATATTCCTCCATGCAGCTGCTAGCTCTTAGCTTTCCCCTTACAGACTTTGCTTGCCCAATGTTTGTCAAGATACCTGTAGCAATTAAAAATAAGAGAGCAGTGCACAGACTAGGTGAGAAGCAGCAGCAAAAGGTATGTGTGTGTTGGGTGTGTGTATGTGAGAAGGGAAGAGACTGCAGAGCTCAGATTGGTTTTACTCTTTAAGTATATCGCTTAGAAAATACAGGAATTAATACCGTATCTTTGGCTGCGCTTTATTACAGCTTTTGTGTCCATATTTCAATTGTAGCTACTGAATCTTGGAATAAAACTTGATGCCTGCTTGTATGTGCCTCTTGCAGTATGGCAAACTTTGTAGGCTTTGTGTCAGTGTTTTTTAAGTCTAAATTTAGGCTGCTTTTAATAAGTTGCTTGTTAAGCATTTTTTTATGAATGCACATTGGGGTTCATAATTTTTAAAGAGCAAATGGAGAATAAATCAGGAATAAGCGTTTATTTTGATACTAGCACAGACAGCAACCCTCTGTTTTGGGTCCCCCCCACCAGTGGATTTGGATGCATACAGCATGCACATAAGAGTGAACTACTTACAGTATGCCAAGAAATTCAGGATAGCAGCAGATGCCTATTTAAATAATTCTGTCTTTACTCTGTGATGCAAAATCTGTGTGGAACTTCAGTCTTTCAGGTAACTGTGATAATTACAACAGATGTGTGGCTAGTATGTCACATACGTAGTCTGCTGTAGCAGTTCGTGTGGCTGTTCAAGGTTTTTTTTTCACACTTCTTCGCTCCCTGCCCTCTCTGACTGGCTTTATCCATCATAAAGTATGTTGTTTTATTCTTATTCATGAAGACTTTTCTTTCTTCTCATCTTTTCTTTTTTTTTTTTTTAACTTCTACCCCCCCCATCTTCTGATGTGACGTTTGTCAACTTCTGATGTGACGTTTGTCAACTTCTGATGTGACGTTTGTCAAACAGTATGTTATTGTTTGACCCCTTATTAACTTTTTTCACTCCACTTCAGTTTCTTTCCTTCCTGGGGTATGTCCCTTCCCTTATCAGTCAGTCTGCTCTTTCATTACATCTCTCCTTCTAGTCCCCAAGTTTCAGCTGCTATGAATTTATGGCCTTATCAGTCAGTCTTTTCTTTCATTACATCTCTCCTAGTTCCCAAGTTTCAGCTGCTATGAATTTATGTGAAATGAGCTCCACTGCAAAAGTCATGGTAGTACTGTGCCTGCATTAGTAGAACCAGGGAGGCCTTATGCGTTTTTTTGTTACCCTTCCTGAAGATGGAGAATGTTCTTGACTGGCTTCCCATTAACTTTTATCGATTTGAAAGCAAAAAGCTGTAGATTGGCAGAAAACAGATGAGAACTTTGATTCTGTCCATGAACTGATTGGCAATCCAGTTGAATGCAGTACAACATGAGCCAAGAGGGCGTGTGATATCAGGGACCCTTGTCAGAAGGTGTGTAAGGGAGATAAGATGTAGATTCTGGTTTAATAAAACATGTAACCCAGTCATCATATATAATTGTTGTAGGCAATGCAAAATGAAATACCCTGGAGATTTACCTTGAAGTCTGGATTAGTAAATGGAAGACCAAACTGATCAGCCTTTTCTGCTAAGAAAAGACAAAGTGTAGTCTCTCACTTGCGTATCTCTGTGAAACCAAAGACAGTAAATTCTTGTTGTGTGCAGTACTGAAATATGTGTGCTTTTGTGGAGACCATGGAAGATTGGAATGGAGGGAGCTTTAGGTAGTATTTGTGGAAGACTGGCTTAGTAGACAGCTGGGAAAAGAAATTTATGGAGATAAGCTTTCCTTGCAAAGAGTGTAAGGTGGGGTAACAAAGCATTAACAAAGTGTTAATGTGTCAAGATTATAGGTCCCTGCTCAGGGGAACTGGGACACCCATTGTTTTAACTGGTGTTATAAATAAAACTGTTCTTCTTCCACACTAAGCTTTTATTTTTCTGAAAACTGTAGCCACATTTCTACTTCAAAGCAGTCTTTTTAAATTTACATTACTTAGTGTTCACAAATTTGGGGATAAATAAATTGATAAAATGAAAATACGGTCATTTTAGTGAGCTGTTATTTAAGCTTGTATGCAAATCTATCTAAGCCTTTGGGCCTCTGGCAGACTTCCTGGCCCTGGTCTGTAAGTCATGTGCATCACTGTCTTAATGGTTGTAATCCCTGCTTTCTCCTTCAGCAGGATATTCCTGTTGATATACTGGGAAAAGTGCTGCAGTGGCTTCTTACTTGGTTTGCGCAAAGAATTTGTGAAAAGACAAAACTAATATATTTAAATTTAATTTTGAATAACTAGGTTTATTTTTGGGAGCATCTGTCTGAAATTGACACCTTTATGGACGGAACATAACATAATCTAGCAAAGCAGTTTGTATTACGTGGAAAATCCATTCAAGCAATATGTGTTTGGCTCCCAAGGTTGTTTCTAAAAAGTCAAACAGCTAAATTGGAGGAAATCACTGGATAAACATTTGAAATCAATGATAAATTTAATAAACTTGGCTAGCAGGAGCCCTTACTGCAATATAGCATGGATATTCCTACCCTGAATTTTTACCACTTAATTTGAATGAAGTACTAGTGCTTCTGCGGCTGAAAAATTTATCAGGAGTTCAAAAATAAAACAAAAGGAAAAGAGTTTTCATCTTTCAATTTGAAAAATAGAGTTCTGAAATCGGATTTTTCTTTTCTGGACGTTATGCCTTCTGGTTTCTATAATTGATATGGCTCATTAGCTACAGATAGCACTTTATGAAATCAAACTTCAAAACATCTTAGACTTTCTATATCCATCACTTACTGTGTGTAATTACCAGTAATGTAAATACTTCTTTCATCACTTACTCTAATTTCTTTCAAAAAAATCTTTAATTAAGTTAAAAGCCTGCTAACAAATAAGAATACTTTATCAAAGTATTGTCTTACAAATAATAGGCAAATGTTGTTATGCTTGGATAAGTGTCTATGGCGTTGGCTAGCACAAAAAGTACAGTAACGTACTGTAAAATCCACATTGTGGTACAGATGAACACGTCTTCATAGCTATAAGCTGGTGAGAATCAGTTTTCTATTGTGAACAACACTAAATTGAAATTACAGAAATGTCCTGCCTGTTGATGCATTAAAATAAAGATTTTAATAGTTTGTATAACTTCCTTGTGGTACTGGAAGATTTGCATCTCAAGTTAAGCAAGAGTTTCATTGTTAAAAATATAATCCCAGCATTTTTTGCTGTAGTCTGGAAGTGAGGTATCTCTGCAGGCTCATTTCTTGGCTAAAGCCGACTGAGGAGTCTGGCTGGGTTTGTGAGCTGACTTTACCTACTTGAATAACCCTTCTCAGCAATTTTTTGTTTGTTGGTTTTAATTTACTATTCAAGTCTTATGGTTAGTCACAGAAAACTTGTTCCCCAGTCAGATAATCTTTGTATCGGGGAAATGAAGCTGAAGAAAGTATTGGAAATTTTCTCTATACAGTGAAGGTGAATCATTTTGGAGAAGAGGTGTCTAAATGTGAGGAAATTAGTAGCATCTCAAATGCTTTTTTAATCTGTGTTATGTTGGCGTATACCTCAACCCCAAGTTTAAAGTGAGATGTTTCCTTGTTTGGTTTTTTTTTTGGTGGAAGAGATAAAAGGAGGATTCGTAGATTCTAAGCGTACTTTTTATACGTTTTTTTATTTATTTTTTTTATTAGCAGCTGTTATTTCATTTGTATTTGTCTGATCAGGTGTGAAAATGTGTTTGATCCTTCTCTTGCACATTTCATTGACTGTCAGTGGAAAATACAAGCTTTCAGTGATAACAGTTTTCATTCAGTTTAGGTAAAATACAGATAGTAACTCACCAGATGGATACACAGTATGTGGTTTATGTATTATAAGTGCACATTTTATATAGCTGGACATAACCAGGTAAGCAACATTTTAAATTGTATGGAGGAGAGACGTCCTTATCGTTTAAACTGTACCTATAGTCTTTTGATGATGGATATGTGCATTACAAACGGTTCGTAGGAGTTAAAAGGTATGAGAAGTTAGCAGACGTTATTATTCGCCAAGCAGTAGTGAAAGATACTGTTGAAATCATGATACTATTGTTACGAATGTATTTTTCCATGTTCTGCCTTGACATCTTCAAGAACTTAAGACGATGTTCTTCCACGAGAATACGGTTGTGGTGGTGCCTGTTGCTTAAGGTGCTAAATATGGTGGGGTTTGTATGTGGGACAGGGACTTGAAACCATAAGGCTTCTGCAGTTTATGCCTGAGGGCAGAAGTCCTTCCTGGAGCCCATAGGCAGTGACACCTATTACTTATTTGGCAGCTGTCATCTCGGTAAATCAGCAGCTGGTCTTTATTTCTCTACTCTTGGTAGAAAGGGGATAGTGACTTTTTTTTTTTTTCTGAAAGGCTTCATATAGTGAATGCAAGAGGGAATCTGTACGTGGCTTTCTAAAGCACTTAGTCATTGCTCAGTTCAACACTTTTGCAAGCAGACGAATGGGATTTCTGCTCTCCTGAATTACTGTGCTTATAATGAAAATTGATAACACTCTTACTAAACTGTCTTCTCTATTGTGTTTTCTGTATGACTCTTCAGTCCGCATAGCTTATAATGGTTTCTTCACTTCCAAATAGCTGTCTTTTCATAGTGGTAGTTACAGCTACCACTCGTTAATGTAGGGTCTTTGAACATTTGCTATTTCTTCATTCTTTGGAGACTGTCCCTACCCATTTTCTTTAGATTTTCCTGCTGTAATGATGAACGCTCAGAAAACATTTACAGCAGTTAACAAAATGCAGACATTTCAACAGCTGAAGGTATCTTGAATTTTTCTCGAAGAATACAAAATACAGCTGGCCTGTGTTTTGTTTTGTTTTTTTATTTCTCCCCTTTTTGAACCAACAATTCACCTTGCTGACAATTGTATACATTTGGACAAAGCCCTAAAATTGAATGCAATTTCTTAGGAACCTCTCAGAATATTTCTTGGTGACGAAGTATTGAATAAAACGCATTTGAACTTCAATTATTTTCTTTTTTTTTGCTTGAGGGGAGGAAAAGAGAAGTAATTCCTGGAGTAGTTACTTTTTAAAATTATCTTTGAAGTCTTACCGGTGTACCCCACTAGAGGGTAGTGCGCATTGACAGATTATTACTGGTTGTCTTGTAATGCTGGCCAACAGCGTGGCTTTTATGGCTTATTTCACAACCTATAGAGTAACAACTTTTTCTTTGCTAATTATGTATTTTTTAAAGACTTGATGTATTTGGGAGTTTTCTGGTTCTGTTCTTTAGTAATATACATTCCAGTATCTTGGAAAATAAAATAGAAGATGTGACTCAGTTCCAAAATAGTTTTTGTTTGTTAAACCACTCTTCAGCAGTATTTTAATAGTTTTTCAAGGTACATACCTTAACTACCACCAATAGCATGGGGTTAGCTGTACTGAGAGTGAGAGTTACTCTGTCACTTTGCACAGAGGGAAAGTAATATTTGGTTCATAGTATCTGGCAAGTGGAGTGTTTGTCCTGAAATTGCTAGTATTGTTCTGCCCGCCTTTCATCTTTACTGTTTGGTTTGTCTATTTTTATTATTTTTTTTAAACTAAAGGATTTTGGGCCCAGAGTGCCCAAGAGTATTGTTCTTTCCTGCTGCTTGTTTTAATATATGCGTATTTGAGATGATTTCTTATTCTACTTGATAAAATACCTTTTTCCTCAGAAAATTACATTTTCAAAACATGCTGATTTATTTATATGCAGATTTTCTTATGTCGTTATAAAGAGTTATAAAACTCTTTATTTTTTTTATCTTCTAGTTGGTCGAATTATGTTTCAGCTCTTCTCAGACATATGTCCGAAGACTTGCAAAAACTTCCTTTGCTTGTGCTCGGGTAAGTAGCATGCCTATATTGGAGAATTTTAATGTTTCTTACAGTTATTATTTGTTTATGCAAGTATAAACCACAGCATAATAATAGTGCTGATCCTTTTTTTTTTTTTTTTTCTGGTAAAAACAAAGCTGAGACTTCTAAGTGCTGAGGAGGATTTGAATAACGTGTAGTAGGAAATAGTGTGGTATTCTATAACTGTGGCTGAGTTAGAGTAGTGGAGATAACACATGATTACAGAATGCAAAACTGAATTTATGGCAAAACCATATTTATTTTTTTTTTTTTGTCCCTAATGTGGGGCTCCTCTAGCCTAGAAGTGATTGACAAGGCTGAGACTGTGGTGGAATTATTGGTCACTTGAGTTACACAAATGTGATAACAGCAAGCAGTTCTTTAGGATTTATCAGGAGAGACATTAAGTATTAATGTTACTGCACAGTATAATGGTGACATTTGACTTGGGACACTACATAAAACTTTGAATATATATAAATTTTTTCTTATAAAATGTTGATTATAATAAAATTTTGAGTGTATTTCAGGTTCATAAAAGTGCTACACAGGGATCAGAAGACAGGAGCTTCTATTAAATCTGAGAAATCTTTTTTCTTTTTTAGCTAAAATAAGGACTAAAAGGGAATATGATAGTCCCTTAGAAATCCTGGGGTTGTTTGGTGGGAGAGAGGAGAGATCTGTGACATCAAAGGGACAGCGTTAGCAAAAGAATGTCTGGCTATAATGTAGCACTCTCCAACCTATTTTTTTAAGCAGGACTTAACTTTTAAAAATGGTTTCTAATGATTGGAAGAGTAAAGGTAGTAAGAGTTTGGGGGGGTTTCTTTGGTCTGCACTATTCGTCAGGGATTTTTCAGCTGTAAGTTGAAGGTTAATCTTGATTATAGGAATTGGTATGTGTTATTTATGCAAAGAATGCATTCTGTGAAGAATGCGTTTTGTGTCTCTTGGTGATCTCCTGGCCTTTTATACCTGAATGCTCAGTGCCTTGCAATATACCTTGAATTAACTGCACCAGTGAAGCCTCTACCTTGTATATGAAATAACTCTTTTCCAAATCATTAAAATGCGCCAGCAAGAGTTTCCAGGCAGCATTTTAGTATTTGGCTTTAGCTTTTAGCTAACCGATTATGTGAAACAAATTTGTTGCTATCCCTTTATGTTAACTTCTTAAAGTTCATCTTGTCAGAGCTGAAATCTCAGAATGTGATGTGTTCTAGATAATCTCTGTAAAGATTTAGAAGATCTTTGTAATACTATGAATTTGTGGAAGGTACAGTACATAGCTAATTTTTTTGAGGTCTGTGTGGTGATGCCCCCTCTATTTTTTTCTTGCTGATTTTTTTTTTTTTTTATCACTTATGCTTATTAAAGAGATACCTAGGGATAAACTGAGAATGGGAAAGAATGGTACAACTTGGACTGTGTTCAGAGAAAGACAACAAAGCTGGTGAGGGGTCTGGAGAACAAGTTTCATGAGGAGTGACTGAGGGAACTGGGCTTGTTCAGCCTGGAGAAAAGGAGGCTGAGGGGAGACCTTATCGCTCTCTACAGCTCCTTGAAAGGAGGGTGTAGCCAGGTGGGGGTCGGTCTCTTCTCCTGAGTAACAGGTGATAGGACAAGATGAAATGGCCTCAAGTTCTGTCAGGGTAGGTTTAGATTGGATATTAGGAAAAAATTCTTCACTGAAAGGGTTGCCAAGCGCTGGAACAGGCTGCCCAGGGAAGTGGTGGAGTCACCATCCCTGGGGGTATTTAAAAGATGGATAGACGTGATGCTGGTTTAGTGGTGGACTTGGCGATGTTAGGTTAATGGTTGGACTCGATTATCTTAAAGGTCTTTTCCAACCAAGACAATTCTATGATTCTATGAACTGTTATCGAATAATGGGAACTTGTTTGAAGTTTATCTTAATCAGAATAGATTACAAAATATAAGAAATAAAATGCAGTAGCAGACTGAATAGTGTGATGTCTGAGCCACATATTCCATAGCTCTGAAGGATTGTTTAAATCCTTAGAACAACTTTGCTGGAAAAGTGTTAGGTGGAGATAAAGGAAGGAAGAGGTGTTGGAGATGGTGTGGAATGAAACAAACAAGCAGAAGAGAGAATGACCTTCAAAAAAAGAAAGCTTGACTTCTTTGTATTGCATCCCTGTTTGAACTCTGTTCTACAGCTGACTGTACAGGTTTCATTGATGTTTTCAGCTGGAACTTGTCTTTAATTGGAAGAAGATTTGAAAGTAAGCACAAAGTTAGGAGGTCTATTCGAGGTCAGACTCTCAGACTTAAAAGCTACCCGAAACATTTGTTTTGTTCTTGCAAATTGTGTTTGCTACTGCGTGTGCACAGGATAGAATGATGATTTGACAGGTATCTTTAAAAAGTTGGTAATAAACACATGATAATTAAATTCTGTGGGGGAGAAAAAGCATGTAGAAGAATCCGAAGTAATTTAATTTCTTTTGGTGAACGTAATGGTTAAGAGAATTAAATTAATATAATTTCTTTTGCTGGTAGAAGCCATGTCTTTTCTGCTATAGTAGTTCTCAAACTTGAACTCAGGATGGCTAAGCTTGGAAGCTAGGGTCGCATGGCTAATATTAATTCTTTTATTGTTTGTACCAATTACATCTGTGTTGCTGTTCAGTTTGCCTGAGTTTTTTTTCCTATCAACTGTTCTGTCTGCCTTTCTGCTTCTCCTTGACAAGTTCTTCCAGTGTACTTGTTACTGCTAGTTTATCTGTTTTATGCATGTCATTTTCCCTGCCCTCCTGCCTTGTACTGTCAAAACCTCAATTGCTTCAGCATCTAAACTGAACACTCTACACAAGGATGCTGTCTCCTGCATGGTACCACACATGAGAACTGCGGCCAGGAGCGGCAGGCCAAGCTTAGGATCGTCCACATTCTTCACAGTAGGATCCAGCAGTTCTCTGGTACATACTTTCTCCCTGTCCTCATGAACTGATGTAGCATTCTGGTTGGGCTACTGCTGCTGTGTTTGCCTAGATTATGTTAGAGGACGTACAAAGCCTGTGTTCAGAAGAGCAGCAGTTCTGTGATGGGAGGTGAAGGTGTACTGGTAAGATTGCATTGACCTCTGGCAGCCGGAACTGGGATGTGAAGGGTTGCTTTAATTTTTTTAGAGTTGTGAGCGGCTGTACCATCTTCAGACACCAAATAAGTCATTTGCTTCCAGGAGTCGGGCTCCTCTGACTCCTGCCACTTTTCACGGCAAGATCCATTGGTAGAACTGTAGTCATCATACGAGTGTGAGTTCCTATTGGGTGTACCTTTAGTCCTTATCTTTTGGTCTTTGCAAGAAATTTTTGAATCACTGGAGGTTTACTCAATACAGCATCACTTTCTGATGCTGACATCTTGTAGCCATGTGTGAGGTCTGTGCTCATCTAGGGATGTATATAGCTGTATAATAGAGGGGATGTTATCCCATTCTGGACCATATAGTCTACATAATGGCACATCTTAGCAGCAGACTTTCAGCATTGTACACTTCTATACTACATAAATTCAGGATTCTGCATGCTGGGCCAATCCAGCATGTTCTTTTCCCTTAGACATGTACGGGTACCCACCTGCATTGTAGCTAATAAAGGCATCACAGTACCACGTGTCCTCACTTAAGTTGTTATGGACCTCAGAGCACCTTGATTTGTGCTGTGTACTTCCATTGTGTCGTTGTGAAGAGTGGTTTCACTTGTCTCAAGGCAAGATGATATGCCCTGGGAGAAAGACTTGAGACCAGCATTTGAAATGCTATGCCCATCGTCACGTCTGCTACTCCCTCCATAATCTCTTTGAGGCAAGCCAGGATGTTTTTGTCAGAAACAGATGGAGAAGGCCAGGGTGATTCTGGCTGCTTTCCTGCAGCCTGACATTGTTGTCAGAAATAGACCTGGCTACTGTGAAAGAATGCTGTCTGCCTCAACAGCAAGAGGCTCCTTGCCTTTAAATTAAAACATCTGGACTTGCAAACTGGCATTTGCAGGTCCTGCAGTCAGTACACCTATTGAATAAGCACAAGCCCACCTGCTCTTTGGTGCTTTGTCAAGAGCTTCCCTTTGCATTATCTCAAACAGAGACCTCTATTGGGCACCTAATTAAAAATATCTGATTGGGTTGGCAGTGCAGGGTGTGGATAGGGCATGAGAGCAAAGTTTACCTGCCAAAGGGAGAAGGGCACTTTGATAAAGGCCCTTGTGTTGTGCCCTCCTCAGCTGATGGGTTATCTCTTGCAATCACTATGTATGTTCTCCTCCACCATCCCATTTCCAAGTGATTTGCAGCACATGGAAAGAACTGTTTAGGCAGGAAGGGTGCAAGTAGATGTGGCTCAAAGAGAATTTTTTTTTTGTCTTTCAGGCAAAATTCAGGCATATTTAGGTCAAAAGAATAAGGCTAGTATTTGGCCATAAACAAAAACAAAAAAAGCCCAACCCATGGACTTTGTACTGGCTGTTGTGGAAAGGTGTCCAAGCTTAGGGAGGTGCTGCAGCTCTAACCAGTAGGACAACTGGTCTCTGTCTTCTGCCTGCTGAGAGTTCAAGGATTGGTTTTGAAAATCAGAGTGACATAGTAGGAACTTAGTCCTCCACCATTTGGCCAGCAGCTTAAGTGCATAGTCCAAAATGTCTGTGGCTTATGGGGAAGTAGTTGAGTTATATGATTTTGCCCACAGTTACACAATGCCTGAAAGGAAGGGAACATCGCAGGTATTGCAATTTATTATGATAGGACTATACTGTCTTGGTGATACTGTAAAGGAGAGTAGAAGAAGGGGCTACAACTTCTAGCCATGGTCTAGAGCTCACCTCACCTCAGCTCAGTTACATGGTCAAGCGCAATGCAGGATCCCATTCCGTAAGGGGTTTATCCATAGCTGGAGGGACAAGCTGAAACATGAACAAAAATGTAGGCAGGTACTCCTTGGTATTGATTGATGTGGAGTTTCCAACGTTGTAGCAAAGAGGGGCATGTTTTGGGGGGGAAGGAGGTGTGTCCATCCCTGTAATAAATAGCTTTGCTTGGATAAATTCTGTGGAAAATAAAAATGGGGTAGGAGGAGGCATGGGTTATGGGCACAGAGTCAGGGTAATGGAAAATAAGTTGTATTCTCTGGGTGAAGACTTCTACAAGTACGATAAACAGCAATGCTATGAGTGGTTTTTATGCCACAAACTGCTCTTTGCCCTCATCGTGACAGCAACAGTCTGTTTGGAATGGCAAATTTAGGGTGATTTGGGCATCAGCTAATTTTGGGTAGAGGAACAATATAGTGCAAAAGGGGAGTGTTGGCTCTGGGTTACAAGTACACATACATGTCTAAGGGCACTATATGGTGCAGAACATACTGGTTAAGTGTCCTCTGACCGAGTGTCAAATGCCTGTTCCATACCCCGTGGTGGGATGAAACTGAATGTTGGGTTATTTGTTCTGTCTCTCCTGCAAGTGTGATTTACATGGTATTTTAGCTGTTGCACAGGGTGTTATATATCTATTACTCTTAATTGCCATGTTCTGTCAGGTCCCCTCTTCTTGGAAGCTAAAGTCAGTGTAGTGTCTCTTGTATGTTCCTTGTCTGGACCAGTATGAATCCCTCATGAACTACTACGTAGGACCTCTGCCCTGAAAGTAGTAGTACCCTCATCCACATGTCCAGTGCAGTTTTTCTTCTGAATTTTGGAAGAAATCTTAATGAAGCTTGAAGTTCTGGGATGCCTTTCTCAAACATCACTGGTAGGCTTGAACTACAGCTGCACCAGGAGCCCCACTGACTGCCACATCTTAGGAAATCTCAGGCTCAGAATGGATTAACAAGTACCGTGGCCTGGCTTGGTTTATGCTGCTGGGTGTGGTACCAGTTCAGGGTTTGGCAGATTATTTTTTTTTAACCCTAACACACCCCCACCCCACCCCCTTTTTGATTCTTATTCACAAAATCACAGAATGACAGGGGTTGGAAGGGACCTCTGGAGATCCCCTAGTCCAACCCCCCCCGCCAGAGCAGGTACACCCACAGCAGGTTTCACAGGACAGCATCCAGGCGGGTTTTGAATGTCTCCAGAGTGGGAGACTCCCCCACCTCTCTGGGAAGCCTGTGCCACTGCTCTGCCACCCTCACAGGAAAGTTCCTTCTCATGTTTAGATGGAACTTCCTATGTTAAAGTTTGTGCCTGTTACCATTCAAGGACAAACTGAATTTTCTTGTATACACAATTTTGTTCCCCTGTTCTGTCAGTCTTTTCAGAAATTGAGGTCTGTTTTGTGTGAGTTTCATACTGAGATGGTGATGATTGGTGCTGGGCGGATTGGCATTAAGGGATGGCCTGACACTGTGCATGGCTTGGTGAATGCATGACACATGGTTGGAGTAGCTCAGTCCCATTTTTTCCAAGAGTGGATTGCATTGGAACTGAGTTGAAACCTGTTCTGACCTCAGATTTCTGTCCTGGGATTCAGCTGGCACATCCAGTTGCGTAAGTGGTTTGAAAAGGGCTCCGGTGAAGCTTCAGCTAACAGCAGTGTGTCTGTAACCACAGAAAATAGTTAACCCATCGTTATCGTGATCTCTTATTTTCATATAAATTGTTATGAGTTGCTAGTAAGTATTGTTAACAAGTACACCCCTTCTTGGAAGGGGAGGAAACATTTTTAAGAAGAAATGTAATCTTCACTTGAGATCCCCCTTGTAAATAGGTCTGTTCTGCCATTAATGGGTGGTGAAAAGGCACTGTGTTATCTTTGATACGTGTGCTATTCTGATGGCTTTCTTATATCCATTAGCACTAGGGAGGTAAAACTCTTGGAATTTGTTCAGTGACAATCTGCGGATTCTTTTTGTTTAACCTTCTTGCAGGTGAAAAAGGGATTGGCAAAACAACTGGAAAGAAGCTGTGTTACAAAGGCACTACATTCCATCGTGTGGTTAAAAACTTCATGATTCAGGGTGGGGACTTCAGCGAAGGTAAAATACACTTTTAAAACAGCAATGTTTTAAGTGGAACAGAAATGTTATAACTTACGTGGTTATAATGCAACTTTATAAAATGCAATGGAAGCATGACAATGCCATAAAAATATTTCATTTGCTGTGAAGTATAGCATAGATCACCCATTTTTTTGTTAACATTTGAAATTCTAAAATGTTTCAACTGAAGTAATATTTATTTAGAAAACGTGTTAAGTTAAAGAAGGAAAATAAAACTACCTTGCTGGAGTTATCACCTATCTTGTTAAAACAGAATTCAAATCCAAGATGTAGTCTTGCTGATTTTCTCTTTTGTGTCTGCAGTAGAGGCAACACTAGTAATGCTCTATTGGTACGGGGACCTAACTATGTGAAAAAGTTTGCTTTTCTTCATTATTTGTAGAAAATGAGCTAGAAGCATTTAACAAATATGTCTCCAAAAGGAGATTTTTTTCAGGAGTTTTGTTTCCTTCCCTGCAGTATGTGTACACCATAATGTTTTAGTCTTTCCTGAAATACCTGTCCTTACCAAAACGTGTATTTTCTTCACTGTGTCCTGAAACCTTGTACCTGACAAAACGGGTGTGGTGAGGGAATATCTTGTTTCGAGAGTCGAGTAGAAGTGCCTTTAAAACTGCTAGCTACTTTCTTACCTTGTCTGTTCTAGTGGTGTCTCTGCCACTTTGAGCTGGGCAAAACTGTTGGTCGTACCTACTGTGGTCTTTTTTTTTTTCTTTTTTTTTCTTTTTTTTTTGGGTTGCAATTATTGTTTTGCTGTCTGCTGCTGCTTTAGCAAATCCCAGTGAGGATTAGCCTTTGGAACCCTGCTTCAGGCTTCCCAGTGTTCAAAAGCGCTAAGGCAATCTTCATTCTCAATATTTTGAGTGTCAGCAGGATAATGCATGGCTGACTTTTAATTAAGGAACTTATGCTCAGGTAGTAGTAACTGGCCAGAGTATCCTGGTTTTTATAAACTGGTAGAAAGTTATACACAACTTTTTTTCATAATGAAGCAAAAGGTTTAATTCATGCTTTTTATTGCGTAGGTAATGGAAAAGGAGGTGAATCTATTTATGGTGGCTATTTTAAAGGTAAGAGGAAATATGTCTTTGCAGATTCTTTATTCAGTTCTGAGATAAACAAGTCTTGATTCCCAAGCTACTTAATGAAAACAGGTCTACTTATAGATCACCTTTTGCATGAAACTAATGTTGCATGAGAATTATTTTTACATGCATGACTTTCAGATAATTTTTTGGTAATATTTAACTTTAACTGACAATTAATTAAGGCTAACATTATTGGTTAAACATGACTTTCAGCATGGAGGTTAGGCAACTTTATTCATGAATAAACTCCTATCTTCCTGCCTAAAACTGTCAACATATTCTTTTGTTTATAGAGAATGTGGTCTTTTGCAAAATGAAAAGGTAAGAGACAAAAGCTCAGTAACACAAATTCAAACTCTGTTCCCTTGTACCCTCCCTAGTAAATATATAGACAACTGATACGTCCGTTTGTAGATGGATATCTGTGTTGCTTGGAGAAATGAAGAGTTCTGTGTCTAACCTTTCTGAGGGTTAATGACTTATTCTGAGAAAGAATACTGGCATAATTTCCGGCTCTAAACAGTTATTTCTTCTTTTGTTAACGTCCCTTTCTTCCCCTTCCCTATTCAAGGTTTGTATGCTTGGTGTTCTTTTCTAAAAGTGTTGACTTCATTTATATGCTACGCAAGTTATTTTACTGGCAAAGAATTTGTAAATAAATGTACACATACCTCTTTTTGAAATCTGTTGTTGGAAGGAAAATGGTGAGTTTATGAAATATTTGTTTAAAGACATACAATTCTTTCTTGCAAAAAACCCCAGGTAGTTACTGTGGTATTCAAGTGTTAATAAAGGCACTATATGTATTTATGTAACAGCCCCTGGTTCTGTGTGTTTTTCAAGTAGCTCTGTGTGGTTAAGTGCGTGCCATTAAGTTTGTCTGAAACAGACATAGTTTGGTGTTGGAGTATTACAGCCTTTAGTCAAAAGAAAGTGTCGAATAGATCCATTTGCTAAGAAGTTACTATGGTTTGTTTCTAAAGGTGGAGAGTGCTAAATATGCGTCGTGTTTTGATATGTAATCGCAATAATAACGGCTTTGTACGCTCAAATTACTATTTTCAGCTTTGAAAATGAACTTCAGAAGATCTGGTTTTATATTATGCTGTACAATCAGGAGTCCTCTTTAGATCACTGGAACATAAAATGCATGTTTAGTTTAGTCTTAATTGATTTTATACTTAGGTTGCAGGAAGAGTATGTTCTTTAGTTTCTCATTCAGGTATCTAGGGTTTATTTCCCTTGTACATTTTGAGACTTCCAGTTTTGAATTGATAAGTGGCTGTGTTTTAATGTGCCGTACCAGGGGAATGGCTTAGATCTTTCTACCTGAGGTACATGCTATGTAAATAACAGTATCATGTATGTTAAGTCTTGTTTTAGGATGTCAGTAAGTCTGCCAACCTTGTTTTTATTCAGAAAATGATAGATTTAAATCCAAGTCTGTGAGAATGTAATGTGTATTGAAGATGCTAATAATGACTTTATTTTTTTTTCATTAGAAATTTTTGCACTGTATCTGAAGCTACTCCTTTTGGAATGAATGCTTTCTGTCTCATAACTGCTTCTACTGTAACTTTTTAGAGGCTTGTTTAAACCTGATCTTTGTTTTTTCCAACCTGTTCATGTTTCTTCAGCAGCGAAAGAATTTCTCCTTATAGCATCCATAAGTTACTAAGACAATTAGATTTGCATTCCTTGTCAGGGAAAATCTGACAAACATATTTTTTCTTCAAACAGATGAAAACTTTATTCTCAAACATGACAGAGCGTTCCTTTTGTCAATGGCAAACCGAGGGAAACATACCAATGGTTCCCAATTTTTCATGTGAGTAGATGTAATATGACAGTTGAGCTTTTCTTAAACAGAGAAGCGCTGTTCATGAGAAAGATGGTATTGCTAAATTATCTATAACAGTGTTATCCGTCTTATTTTAAATAGGGTTGAGGGGGTACCTGCACTGTAAGCAATAATAGGAAACATAAGTTATTGCAATTTGCTTGTGGCATTCATTTGGATTAGAAGCTGGTGCTACATGGATGTTCCTTGTTCATCACTTTTTACCCTAAAAATATGGCTTATGCAATAAGTTCTTAGTGTCCAGAAAATAGATTCTTTGGCTTTGTGTGTGCACCAACCAAATTTTAACAGAGTATCTGCAAATTACGATGTTGAGCATTGTATGCTAAAGGGAGTGAGATCTAGAGGTGGTTTGTATGATTTTGCATGTGCTCTTTAAAATATGATGATTTAGTTTGGGGATTTTTTGTTTGGTTTTGCATGTGCCCTTTAAAATATGATGATTTATGATTTAGTTTGGGGATTTTTTGTTTGTTTCTTTTTTTCATGGGGAGGATGAGTAGGAGTTTTGTGGTTTTGGATTTTTTTTTTTAATTTTTTTTTTTAATTTTGGAGTGTTTGTTCCTGACGTGTTTTTCTTCTATATTGCTGCATAGTTCTGTTTACCTGTGCATATACCAATTACTTTGGTACCAGCACTATGTAAAAATATGTTCTGATGATCAGATTTTTCCGTCATTACCTTAAAAAAAATAAAAAAAATCCATTCTAGTATGTAGGCATATTCTTTCAAATTGTAGAAAATGCAATTCTCTCTACCATCAATAAATACTCAGGTCTCGTGTCAGGGTCTTCTGGTTAAAGCGGTTGTATTCTAGGTTCAGTATTAATATTTTTAAACATGCTTATTTGTATGTGATTATTCCTCCTGTTAACTCCCTTTTAAAAATTACCTTCAGTTAATGTTTAACAGTTTATATTTGGAAAGATCTGGATTATAACTTTGGGCTTGTGCTGAGAAGAGCTTTGTGAAATAACATTGGTGTTTTCAGAAGTAAATTTTAGTGTAGTTACTTACCTAGAAAAACTGTTTTTTTCTTTGCCATCTTTCTTGGGGGATAAGAATGAATGGCGCTTCACTGTCTTCACTAAAGGAGTAAAATGTCCTCAAGAATATTTCTTTGCCTGAAAAAGATCTTCAGTATGACGCAATGAAGTTCAGATAAGAGACATTTTTAGGTTTCTTCCTAAAGAATGCCCTAAAAATGGAAAATCAGTAGGAACCTAAGAGGAAGTCTTTCACAGTTATCACTGTTCTGACTTTCCATAGAGATAAAATTGTGTTTAAAAAAAAAAAAAAAAAAAAAAAAAAAAAAAACAAAACAACCACCCCCCCAAAAAAAACACCCAAGAAAAAAAACCACCCAAAACCCTCATTTTCTATTACCCTCAAACCAAATTTTAGATGTTCTTCCTCACAGTAAATCTGAATGGAAATATATACACATTAATATGGAATGCAATCTATATATAAAAAACCCTTGTGGTTTACTGAGCTCTCTGCAAGACATTGGTTCGCTATTTATTAGTTCGTGACTTATCTTTTGGTTCTCTTGTCATAATTTTCCATTTTTAAGCTTATCTGGACAATATACATGAAAACTTAAAGATGTCGCATCAGTCAAGAAGCTATCATTTGAGGGCTCTAAAGTTTCTTTTCTCTCCTGCATTTGATTCAGAAGTCATCTTCTTTCCCTTATGCTTAGTAGACTCAGCTTACTTGTTATCTGTTGATTTAACAGACATAAACACCTTCTCTCTCCCCACACGCCAAAACAACCTAAGGTTGTTTTAGATGCTAAATTGTAAGTTACATGGGACAATGAAATGAACGGTATTTAAGAGCACTTTCCTCAAATACAAATGTATTTTGAAAGATGCAGATTTCTTCACAAAAAATCCATTCCTTCATGATAACACTGTTAAAGTGAAAGTGTTAGTTTGGTGCAAATTCAAGCAGGGTAAGATGCGTAAACGTAGTCATCTCCATGTAAGCTAGGTTCACCTCAGCTGCCTGTAGGAGTCTAAAGCCGTATTTAGGGTCCTGGGGTGTCCTACCTGGCCTTCAGCTGCTGGGAGAGAAAGGTGTGGATGTTCTGAAGGTCTTATGTCTCACCTGCCTGCCCCATGCAGATTTCTTGGGTATCCTGTAGTGTCTTAAATGGCACCAGCTTGCCCTAGAGTCAGGCAAGTGAATTGAGCCCAGGTGTAAACTCCCAGTATAACTGATGAGGTTTAGATGGGCTGCTGTCTAAGTCTTTAAAGCATGTTCTAATGCTCTTGGCTGCTGTGACCCTCTTGACCAGGGCTTTTTTCATTTTGCCACGTGCAGACATCTAATGCTGTTTGAGACACCATTGGAACCTCCAAAACAGGGCGTGCAGATACGATATAGCACCTGCAAGACACCCTGCGCTCCTGGAGTAGCAGCTGGAAGCCAGGCAGGATGCAGTAGGGCAGCTCAGGATGCCTGTACGTTGGCAATTGAGCGTTCTCCCTAGATCTGGCCAGCAGCTGAGATGCCTAGCTCACTTGCGGATGCCTTTACTGTGTTCAAGTTTATGCACTTAAGCTGAAACCCACCTTTGGCCTCCAGTACTCAGCTAATCCTGGGAATGAATATGGACAGTTGTAGAATCCATGCAGAAGCTGCTGAGGCTGCTCCTAAAGGCAGGTGTGTATGTATACAGTCAGTTGCAAAGTCAGGTTCATGTCTGGTAACTCGATTTACAAATAGGCAAAGATGAATGGTGAAACACATAGTTCAACAGTCTGTCTTTTTGTTTTGTTTTTTTTTAATGGTGGAACTTGGTTTCTGCTTCATAACATGGAGAGTTAGAATTTCAAGATTCAAAGTAGGAAACAATTGGTAAAGACTTTATCTAGGCAGTTTCTGACTTAACTTTAAAATGCAATATGTTAAAGCAGTTAGTCTTGCTTGGTGACATTTGTCTAATTACTTTAGGGAATGTACTGTGCATCTATACAGCTTTTCTTTAATAAAATACGTTTGTTTCCTTACTTTAAGAAACACATTTTAATTTCAGCTTATACTCAAAAGAATGCTCAGTTATTCAGTAGTTATCATTAGGAAAAATGTTCTTCAAATGTGTAACCTGAAAATTGTGTGAAAGGCCGTCTTCAGTGTCAGTCTTTTAGATATATTTTTTTCATGGTTTGAAGATGTTTCATTTTATTGTTCGGATTTATAGAAAGGGAAATAGTTCCTCTCCATCTGAACTCTAGATGTTTCCATTTTTTTCAGAGATTACTTCAAGGATGAGAACTCTATATTGCTCTATCGTGCACATGTCTAATGTAGCAGATAAGGAATTCAAAGAAGTTATTTTCTTTTATATTAGTATTTATGCAAGTAGGGCTAAAATAATAGCAAGAATCCTGACTGTAACAGTTTTGCTTGCTCATCAGAACTGCTTTCCCTGCTTACCACAGGAAAGTGTCATTTGGAATAACGAGCCTTTCCAGACAGTAATTAGGTAGTGAATATCTCTTTGACAGACTGTACTAACAAACTGGTCACAGCAAGTCTCTGTGCAATGCCTAAAAATTGTTTAAGTTGAGCAACAGTGGTGAGTTCTACTTGAAATAGAAGCTCCAGACTAATCTTAATGTAAACAAGCATCTGACCAATCCTAAAGTATCATCAGCTTTCTTTGATTCATCAGGAATTTCTCTGGCATGAATGAGTTTGAAGCATTTATAAGCAACAATAGAGAGCTAGGCATGGAAAAGACAGTGTAAGTATTGTTAGAAATCTCCAGTGAGGCCACTGTAACTAGAATGAGCATAAATTAAAGCACTGGTAGAAACTGGCAAGATTCGAAAGTAGAATAAAGAGTCAGAAGCGTGTGTGTATATATATAATGTCAGCAGTACTGTGTTTAATGCTCGTTGACTAATTTTCCCCACTTCTTATCTTTTTTCTTACTTGAGTTGTAGTAACAGTATAATGTCAGCAGTACTGTTTAATGCTCGTTGACTAGTTTTCCCCACTTCTTATCTTTTTTTCTTACTTGAGTTGTAGTAACAGTTGGGTTGAAAGGAGGCTGTTTAGCTAAGGCAGGATTGTTTTTTCATGCACGTGCACTCTAAATAGGCGAAGTCTACTCACACATGTGTCTGAGAAACATTTCCGAGTCTGAGGAAACGCATCTTGTTGAAAGCCAGCGGAAAGGATACAGAGACTATCCCTTCATAATGTTCAGATTTGTGAAATACTGGAATTTCAATTTTCTATACTCAAAGGGATCTGTTGTAACATTTTATTGAAAAGGCTTGTGTTGAAGACAGTTGTAAGATACCAATTTATAAATGAGCTATTTGCATTTTCAAATAACACCACTATTAATTTGCTTCCTTTCTGTGAATAACTTCTTTCAGAACCATCATTTATTTAGCAAGTGTTCTAAACATCACCCGAGTACCTGAGTGCATTAATTTTCTTTTAATTCTCCTGTTTTCCATGTTGATACTCAGATATGGAATCTCTAGAATGGGGTAGAGGTTGACAAGAACCACTCTAGAATCTTTTTTTTTTTATATACTCCAATATCTGTTTTGAACTGTTGCTGAAAAGATTATGATGGTTATTATTAGTTACTGGGGGAGCATTGCACAAATACAGTTAATGTCTTTAGGTCCCTGATTTAGAGTTGGGGGGGATAGTCAGCCCGTTCCTGGATGTTCCAAGCTCAGTGGCTGTATTACTTGTTGGGTGATGTTCTTCTTGAGCCATGTATTCTGCTTCTCAGTTGAGCTGATCCGATAATGGTATCTTGTCTCTTTAGACCAACACCATCATGCCTGTGACCATACCCAACCTGTTAGTAAGGAAAGTTGCAATACAAAATAAGTGCAACCCTTGCGCAAATGAGTAGATAAAGTACTATAAATTTAATGAGACTCCTGATCCTACAAATGCTTGCATGGGATTAACTTTGCTTCCATTGTCTTACAAAATCTGTCAAGCTATGCTTACTAGAAAAATAGAAGTGACTCTGCAGAACGAAGCATAAAGAAAACAATAGGAGGCAAAAAAAAGTAAACAACCTCTTTGTTGTCTTTGGGAAGTTTTGTGTAATTATTAATTTATTGCCTTGTTATTTAGACATGTAGTTTACTGAGGAATATGTCCTTATTACAACTTAGAGGAGGCCTCGATTGTGTTCCTTATCAGTTCAAATGCTTAGAGTTCTTGCCTCTGTGTTCAAAAGCTATTTAAAACTTGAGGCTGTTTTGATATTACTGCTAGATTTATACTAATTTTTTTTCCATATTGAGGGTATTGTTGGTTTAATGTGTCTCTCGAGCTCTGCTTTCTTGCTGAAAACTAAATAGCTTTTTTTGGTTTTAAAAATGTTTTTAATGTGTGGTGCCATGCCTAGTTACTAAATCCAAACAAACTAACCACTTTGATCTGCTAAGTGAAGGATAAAATAAATCGTGAGGACTTTCTTGATTTTACAAATTATTTCTGAATGTTGCCAGCTTATTAAAAGTGGTTCACTTCTAAGTCTTCTTGATGTCCTATAACAGGCATTTTTCTAACAAACAGTAATTATTTTTTTACTGTGAATGAAATACCTTTGAACAAATTTTTGAAAAATTGACAGTAATATAAAAAAACCTAAAAATTTCAAATGAAAGGGGCTGACGTTGCATTATTTTTGAGCAAAAGTGGTATATGTGCACTTACCACACAAGCAGGTCCCATTGGCTTGATCAAAAGTTTATGTAAAAGCACAGCCCGTGTGAAAGCATTCACAGGATGCTTTTATGTGTAATAAGTAGCAAACAGGTCATTTCACTGCTCAGATAAGCAGAGCCGTAATTAAGAAGTAATAGTTTGGGAGAAAAAAATAGGGATGAGCTCAACTGATTATGCAGTTTTAAAACATTGCTGCTGCTCAGAATTATACCAGAGCAAAAGTATGGTCTTAGCTGGTGCACGTTTTGTCTTTTTTGAGTCTGCAATGTGTTTGTTTTTCTATAATTCTGAACACAAGCAATCTAATAGTAATGTACGTATTTTAGAGAAAACACCTATTTTTCTTAGTTTTAGAAAAGCTTCATAATGTGAGGAAGATGTCAGCTAATTATGAAATGTATGAAGTTGTAGACTTACTGACTTAACACATTTCATTTGTAAATAAAAGCATTTAAGCTATGGTGTGCCATCCTATGAAGTATATACTTAGGACTGGATTCAGTAGAGCCTTTGAACACCTATATAACTGCAAGCACATGAATAAACCTATTGAAATCAGTTGTTCATCTGCTTGAAGTTATGCATGTGTTCTCACACTTTTGCTGGATTGAGACGTAGAGGGGAGCGGGAGGGTTCTCTTTTCTAACCATTTATCTTTTTAATAGCGTATGCAAGCAGGTTATGTCTATAGGTTTCTTTTTGTTTTTAAGGAGAACTTGCTGTGGTTTTCAAAGTACCTTGTATTCTAAAGAAAATTTAGAGCCCTCTTTTAGGCATCCTTGTTCTGCATACAACTTGATTAATATTAATTTTAAATTTGTATTTAATAAAACATAGACTCAGTTTTGTCTGAAAATGTATTACAATTTATTTCTGCCATTTTTGTGTAAAATTTACAGAAACAGTGTTACATCGTGCGCTCCAAAGGTAATGTCTTATTCCTCTAAGGCTGTGTCCTTTCCTTTTCTTCTTTCTGTTTTTATCTTTCTTGTTTTTCTGATCATATTGTTATGTGCATTGAATCCTTTGTTAGGACTGAGGTTCTTGGGGGGGTGAGTGATAACATGCTTTTACCAAAAAGATGCTTTTCTCTTCAGCAGTATCTCAAACCAATTTACTTTAAACTCAAGTGAAGAAAGGTATTTGTCCTTCTGTACATAACTTGGATAATAGTATATATTATAAGACAGATTTTGAATGTTTTAAACTATAAAAGTTCTGTATAGAAATGTTTTAATAAAATATTATTTTGGGGGAGGAACTCATCGTGACTAGGTTCCTATAGTGCAAAGGCAGTAAGTAGGTTTTTCTCCTGATTAAGTTTTGAAGCCAAAGCAAATGCTCAAGGATTGAAAGGCAGAACGTAGGCAGAAAACTTTCAAGTGGTCTTTTAAAGTGCACGTTTGCAGAATAAATGTCATGTTACAACCTTAACATCGAGATGAGAACTTTCAAAAGCACAATGAGGAGTTGGGGTTTCTGCTTCCCGTAGGAAGTTTGAGTCACCAAACTCCTTGTCATGCATCTGACAAAGTTTTCTTTTTGGATAATGCTTTTCCTTGTGTTTTCACTTCATGAAGAAGTAAAGGAGAAAAATCCTATCCGTTCTAGCTATCGAACTGCCACTGTAATGGAAGAAACCTCTACGTGGGTTTTAATGTACCAACTGTCCCTTTCTTTGCTTACTGAGGACTAGTCTAAAGCAAGTACGTGCTGAGGGAATTTGCTCAATTGGTCTTCAAGTGCTGCTGCTGCGTGGCAGGAGCACATTGCTACAGCATTCATACACAGTCTTTTTGAACCTGTTGCTATTTCTAGCTAATTCTAAGCACTAAGTTATGTTTATTATTGGTTTCATTGAAGTAACCCATTTCTGTTTTTTCAGTACTTTAAATCAATCAGCTTTATAATTAAGCCTGCTTAACTGTTTACTTAACAGCAGGTTGTTAACGCAGTTAACTTTTGCTTAAAGAACTTCAAAAGCTGTAAGAGTTTTTGTTTGTAGCAATATACTGTATTAGCAAGAGAAAAACAAATAATACCCCCTACTATTGAGAAATTAAATGTCATCTTCATAGCGTTTCTTTCCCTGTGTTAAACCAAAGAAGTTTTCTGTATTATTTAGTATTACAAAAGTGGAAGGTCTGGTTGGCATTTGGAGCTTAAAAAAATAAAGAGTGTAAACACTCCTGATTCCCACTTCCATCTTTTGACATGCATTCCAGCACTGCAGTGTTTTGTGAGCTAACAGTTCAAAACTCGAGTGAAGATATGTGCTTAAAAAGTAGTATTTTAATAGTGAAAAACTAACTTCATTGTACCACATCTGTGTTACTGTAAATTTAGAACAAGCATCTGTGATTGCTTACTTATGTAGAGAGAGGGGAGTTCATTCGGAGAAGGCTAGGAAGGCAAAATAGTGCCTGGGGAGGAGAGGAAGAATGTTTTCAAATATTAAAGTAGCTTCAAATGCAAATTATCTTGACCTCTATTTTTTTTTTTTCTTCCCCAATATATAAGATTAGTGCAAGTTCTGATATTCTGTACTGAATTTGTCTGCATAGCAAGGTCCCCTGTGCAACGTTATTCAGTTATTACTTGTAGAAATAATTTCCTTTCTTTTTTGGAAAAGAATATAGAGAGATATCAGGTCATAGCATTGCCATCAAAAAGGTGAATCTCAACATGTAATTATATATGCACAGTCTTGAATATTCCTATTTGAAGTCAGCTCAGAAATTTGGCATAACTCCAAATGCCTTTTAAGATAGTGTACAAAATGTAACACAGTTGCATTTCTCCTTCAGGCTAGAAACAGCTAAATGTGGGAGGCTGAAAAATAGGGAAGAAGTCTGCGTTTATCACAGGAGTCAACTGTAGGGTAGCGTATAATGTCCGCTTGCATTATGCTGCTGTTTTTGGGAAGCCTGTGAGCTTCTGAGCTGAAGTGCTGTAGTCTTGCTGGTTTAAAATGGGAGTATTGTTTTGTATTCCCAGTCACGAAGCCGATCAAGTCAATGGAGAGTAAAAAAGTAGAGGGGAGGGAAGCAAAGAACCTATCACATGTGATAACCCTCTTCTTTTAAATAAACTGACTTAGATGTGACCTGGTAATGCAAGAACGTGATAATTTCAGAAACCTTTAAATTCCATTAGTTACCCAATATTTGTTGCCAAATTGTATCCTCCCTGTGATTAAAAATGTTAGTGAGTTATCTTTGAATGTGTATTTAAAGACACTTATTTGAAGATTGTTTATTGCATGCAGAAAATGATATTTGGTACAACTTTCAAGTATGCACAGTTAGCTAAACTTCAAACAAATTTCATGTAAAAGTTTAAAAAAGCCAGTGTGTATAATCTGTAAAGTTTTTTTAATTCCATGTATGTAACTGGATTTTTTCACTATTTTTTTTGTCTTACCTTCACCTCTTTTTTTTTTTTTTTTTTTTCCCCTGTGTCATTCTCCTCTTTTATTTCATCTGAATCCCTGATTTTTATTTTTTTTTACCATCTTACCATCTTGCTGTTTGTCAAACAGAACAACAAAACCTGCTCCTCATCTGGATGGGTAAGAATCCTTTACAGTTTCTCCAACAATGGCTAAAATTTGAAGGTTGTAAATCCTCACATGTTGTATTGAAAGTAAACAACAGTGGGAAAAAAAAATCTTAATTCTGTGAAAGATTATACAATAGAACAAGATGGAAAACAAAAGTTTCGGCTCTATAAAAATTTCAAGTTGCAACTTATTTCCTAAAGCTGGTCAAAAATGTGGAAGGTCTTAAATCCTGACATTAATTTCTTTAAAACTGCTGCCCTCAGGCCATAAATCAGTGAGTTGAAATGTCAAGTTTAATATATTTGATAGTACTCTTTTTTTGTGACATGTCTTTATGCCCAAAATATCTTAGTTCCCATAAGTATAAGTTATGGGGCAAACAGAAGGAGGACAGAGGAATGTGAGATGGTAGAACAAAACTCGGGATTCCGTAATTATAACTGTCTTTCCAGTGCCAGTGGGAACTTGTATGCTGAGTTTGTATAGACCTATAAATGCTTCTTCTCTAGGGAAAACTGCACTTTTGTCATTTTCATTTATGGACTCTTGATGTCTCTATTGCACGAAATTTCAAAAATAGAAGGATAGATTAGAAATAATGATCTGTTTGCATTGTCCCTGTAGAAGAGAGTAGAATGACATCAAGTATTTCTCTCAAATTGTACTGCAGTGGCCCTCTGTTTCATATTGCTGAAACGTTAGCATTGTTGTAAATGTAAAAGTAATAAAAAATCTTACTTAAGTTTATTACATCTCAACAGCCAGATAATGCCAGTGAAGCTGAATGTTTCTATTTCAGAATGACTTTTAAAAATCTGAAATTCATTGGAAAATAATTACAGCAATATATAAATGTTTGTACTTTCCAAATATTTTATTTCTGCAGTGTACATGTTGTCTTTGGACTGGTTATTTCTGGTTTTGAAGTAATAGAACAAATAGAAAATCTGAAAACTGATACTGCAAGTAGGCCCTATGCAGATGTACGAGTTATTGACTGTGGGGTGCTTGTTACAAAATCAGCAAAAGATGGTAAGCATACATATAAATGTAGTTAATTAAATGTTGACATTGTTTTCAGAAAGTATAAAAATTACACCAACATCTAAAAATCATTATAGTAAATCTCTAGAATCTTAATTAATTCTTACAGACATTGAAAATTTAAAGCTTGGTGTAGGTGAGGAAGGCACAGCAAGGGAAAACGTTTTCTGACCTTGGAAAATGTATGCCTGCCTCTTATTCTCCTTAATTATTGTTTGAGGTTAATGCAACATGCTCAAAAAGTAATTAGAACTTATTTTTCTGACTTTGAAAGATGGAGACACGAGCCTAAACTTTTCTTAAAGTTGAATTTTGTGCAGTTTACAAAGCTTTCTTTTAAGAACCTGTAATGTTAATGTATGTGGTATATGTAGTCAACGTAATTTTCCTTTTCATGAGAATTCATGGGAAATAAATGATCTTAAATATATGTTTAGGCAGCTGCTGCAAATTAGTGCAGTGTCAGTTTTCTACTCTATTTTTTACTTTCCTTAAGGGTAATGTGATTATTCATGTCCTTTAAGAAATTCAAAAGGATAGATAATGTAAAAGTGTGAGGATGCAGAAAGAAGAGAATGACAAAGTTTTAGAAATAAAAAATATATGATTGAGGCTGTGACGGACTCTTTCTTAAACTTTGTTTTATAATCTGTGCATTTCTTTCTAAAGAAACTAATTTTAATTTTTTAACTATAAATGGTCTTTACTTACACGTGTATTCCATTCTAACCCAAAGGTGGGAGTTCAGTGTTATAACCTAAAATCCATTTTCAAAGGAAAAAAGGAGGGAAACCCTTCTTCTTAAAATTATACTTATTTCTCAAAGTTTCTTTATATCGCCTTGGCACAAGTTTAATGTTCAACTTCAGTTATAAAATTACTGTGTACAACTTGTCAATGCAAAGCCAAAACATTTGTATGTCATCTTATATGGTGGAGGTTGTGCATGGGAGTTCTTACAGTTCATTTCACAGCAACTGAAGAAATCTGTTTACAGCTGTCTTTGCTGGAAAATATTTGTATCATTCGGCTGTTACAGGTTTAGGCTGGACACAATTATATGACTCTATAATTGTACTTTAATGTAATTCATTGTGAAAAAAATTCATAGTTTATCCACAGAGCTCCACCAGAGCAGTGCATGTGTGTATTTATACATATATGAAATTGTATATTTTGTGTTGTATATGTACGCAAGAAACGTACATGTATATGAACATACTGTAAATTTCAAATGTCTGTTTTAAGCTTTGGAAAAGAAGAAGAAAGTATGTTCTGACTCAGAAGTTTCAGACTCCTCCTCCAGTGCATCAAGCTCTTCAGAAACTTCATCTGACAGTGAAGCTGAAAATGAAAGAAGCAAAAGAAGAAAGCGTAAAAGAAGAGCTAAACCCAAACAATCGAGAAAACGAAGAAAGGAAGAGAGAAAAAAAGAGGATCCAAGGTGCAAGCGAACCTCAAACCAAAGACGGTGAGTAGTCTCTTAAATTTAAGAATTTCAGAGAAATCTGAGAAATTCTTCTTTGTTTTTATGAAGTACTCAAGTAATGAATGTAAAAATGCTTTTATTTAAATTTGGATTTTGATGGTTGATTTTTATACACGAACAAAACCAATCAAACAAAAATAAAAAGCTGAGCTTGTTGGGTGGCTGCTTCTATGAAACAGTTTAAGATCTGTGTAGATAGAAGCTAGAGTGGCTTTGAAGTAAGTCTCAGCGTGTTAAAAGTATTTAGGATTCACTATGCCTATGTTGTAGTAAGACAGGCAAATAAGAGATCTTTGATTTATATTTGCTTATATTTTAAAAATATTTCATGAAAAATGGCAAATTAAAAGCAAAATTAATTGCTGTAAAGTAAGAACTGAACTTCCTTTCCAATAAAAGTGCACCGTCCTTCCTGTAGCCTAAAATGGGTTGTTAGTGAAACACTTTTTGGTTTTTAAACCATCCTGAAGATTGATGCATCATGTGGGCTTGTTTTGGAATTCACTTTGAAAAGCGTTGCTTATGAATTGATAGTTAATTTTTATTTATCAACCTTTCCCTGTAGCAGCCTTTCTGACAAGAGTGATACAACAGAAAAAGCAGTCGATGTTAGCACAAAGAGGGACAAACCTGTGGTACGTCCTGAAGAAATTCCCCCAGTGCCTGAAAACAGATTTTTGCTAAGAAGAGATGTGCCTGTTGTCAATGTAGAGCCGGAACCGTAAGAATCATTGAGCTTTCTTATTATGTTGACTTCATGGAAACTATGCATGACAGTTTCCTGCTAACGCTGTATTACTGGTACTGATGGCAAATGATGGTTGTAGTGTCAGAACTTCTAAATGAGGTAATTTAATTGTCCTTTTTACAGTTCTCTTTGTAATATTTTTCACAACCTGTGTCAGGGTTTTTCAGTGAAATCTAATGAGTGAGTTTTATTGGTTACAACCATAAACTCAATTATAGATGCTGCAAAAAAAATGAGCGAATAATTCTAGGAGAAATTTTGCAATGAAAACCACAGCAAATATTTGGTCATAAGGTAGACTTAATTGGGAGAGGTGATTTTTCATCTTTCTTAGACTGAAGACAAAACTTTGGTTCAAAATCAATCAACCAGAATTTTATGACCCATCTGATTCTGAGGATAAGAGAAAATAGTCTTCTTTGAATCAAAAGGAAGTCATGAGTTCAGAAGCTACTTTGGATTTGTGTTTTTCATCTCTACTAAATTGCAGTGGGGTTCTTTTTCTGGCAAATTTCTTTGCTTTTGGACTCAGATGAGCTAATACATTACATTGCCAGGTATCTAAAATCAGGGTTTTTTTTAAAAATTTCAGCTAATGGTATAGTCTCCTGCAAGCCTCCTCTTAAAACATGACTTTACTCATGTTTCCAAAGCCTTAGTAACTGCTTCTTTTGAGGATATTACACAAACTGTAAAAAGGAGTGCTGAATTACCTCTTGTTGCTTAGGAAAGGAGCAAGGCTTTAGAATCTGTGAGCTATTGTGAATTGCCATTCCCTACGCTAAGGCATTGTTGTGGAACTGCTGAGATGCTGAAAATCTTCTGCCCATGTTGTCTTCATGATTTGTGCACCAAACACAAGTTAACCTCTTTAGAAAAACCACCTTCAACTTTAACAGAGTATTTTGCAAGTTCACTGTTAGCATTTATTTACACATAGAGAGAGGTCAGGTAGGCTACACGTTTGGTTGAAAACAAGTATGTGTTGATTTGCCTTTTGTTGGCATGTGTGTCTTGCTTTATTTCTTGGAGAATTCAATGAATTCTTAGTTCTGCCATCTCAAAGTAAATTAATAACGTGAATGTTTTGCGTAATTACCTTAAAATTACTTTTAAGGTTCTTTTTTTTTGTTCTTTTCAGTGTAAGCTTATATTTTTTTAATTTATGTAGGAAGCTTCTTGATTCTACGCCAGTTCTGACTGACCAGAAACCATCAGTCTCTAAATCTGGACGAAAAATTAAAGGAAGAGGCACAATAGTATGTAACAAATTTTTTTTAATTATTTTTTTCTTTCCTCTCATCCAGAGTATCTTCTCTGACCTTGAGCCTTGAATTTCCTTGGTGGCTTTGTGTGACACTTCAACTATTGTTGCGATGATGTAGATTCTAGCTTAGAAGGTTGAAATATTGTTGTTAGGTAGTTCATTTTAGAATGCTTTTTTTCCTATTCTTCTTGTTGCTGTCCTTTTACTTAAAGATTGTTTGGGAAAACAAATGCTTACTCCTCAGCTACGAGAAGTCTTCAATCATAAGAATAAATTTATTTTTTTTTTTTAAAGACTGAAGTTTAATTCAGCCAGATTTGTCTCACGCGAGTCCCAAGATTTAAAGTAATGAGAAGTGACAAGAGCTTTTACTCTTCTCCACTCATTGCATTTCCTTGCTGTCTCCATTAAGCCTTAGGACTGTAACACACAACAGTAGACAAAGCTGTTCTACAGTGTCCTAAGTGTGTACAGCCCTTTCTGATGCGTATTGCTTGTCCTCCCGAGTTGTGGTATTTGCATCTTCTGGTGGTTGTGCATACATTGTTGAGAAGCAACAGTTTTGTTGGCAACTTTGTCGAAATCACTTACATTGTTTGTTCTCCTTTTTGACATTTTAAGTCAACCTTTTGTTTCCTTTTTTTTAGCTGCTTAATGTAGTTTGTCAGCTTTCATCAGCTGTCCTGGCTGAGGTCCAGTCTGTGTAATATCATAAATGACACTGCACGGGCAAGAAGTTACTTCTGTGCAGAGCTAGTAGCGAAGCATTTTTACAGATGCACAGACCTGGTCCTTTTGGTTTTTTTCCTACCTTCCTCTGAAGACTGCTACTGTTTATGCAGGTTTCATTTCTACTTTGGATCTTTGGTGTGCTGAAGATTTTTGCTTTTGCCTTAGTTCCACTATACTCAGGCAAAAGTGTCTTCTCTAATAACTCACAATAGAGAGCCCAGAACGCTGCGCAGCTACGCTGTTGTTTTTCAGTCAGTTGAAGAGGGAGAGAGTAAGAAAAGGTTTCCTCATTGTGCATTTGATTCTGGTGTGTTTCAAATTGTAGTGCACCATGACTGAGCATATTCTTCCCCCTTAGAATGTTTTCCTGGATCAAGTTACAGGCGGCATTTGGGTAACCATAAACCAAACCAAGGCTTGGTCCTGCCAAATTTTTTTGCAAGTGGAAGTCCTCAAAAAAAAAAAAAAAATCACTATCTGTATAGCCAAAGATGCTTTTTCTTAGAATTATCTTAGCTGAGACTCCTCTGAGCGTGATTTTCTTATGTGATAGCCACTGGATTCAAGAAGTACTTTTCTTCTGATCCCCACGATGCAATTATTTTAAGCCATAAAATTAACAGCTTCAATGGCCCAAGCGTAGACCGAGGTATGGTAGTGTTTGAGCTTCACCTGAGAACTGACCCTTATTTGCCAGCCTTGACATTAAATCTGATAGCTGTCTCTGCTGTGTCTGACAGCTTTCATTTGTATTTGACACTTGTGATATTCACTAAAGGAAGCCTTTTAAATGGAATGTTTTGAAATACTTATGTAAATAAAGACTTCTGGAAAATGAGCTTAAAGCTGGGTGGAAGTGGCTTTTGCCAGGGATTTGGGTGTCTGTGTCTTGGTTTTTTTAACTTTGGCACTGTCTTGGCAAAATTAAGAATGAAAATCAGTAATATGAGAAATAATTCAGGGCTATCAATTAGTTGGAGAAACACATTTTTCTGCCATCTCTAATGGCAGTCTGATTAGCAGCAGTTTCTATCCAGGGTGAAATTTTTTTATGTTTTTCAAGATACTCGTTTGTGGTTTTGAATCCTCTAAGGTTCCAAGTGACTCCTGAGTATAATACGAGAGAATTAGGGAGGTCCACCAAAGCTTCACAACCTGTTATATGCCATTCATCTGTGAAAGCTTTTTTTTTCAGTAGTCATTGCTTCAGCTCAAAGGATAGGGAAGCTCCAAATCTTCATGGCAGGGTTGTTTTTTGGTTTTGTTTTTTAATATAAACAGGTTGTCTTAAAGCCTTCTGCCTGTAATTAACAAAATAAACCAGTACATGCATCTTTCTGGTTTTATTCTGGGGGGACAATATATTTTTTTCTTCACACATTGCTTGCTTTTATAAGTGGCTCAAAATAATTGAGTAAAATCCAGATGTTTTTCTTTATTAAGTCAAGGCACATCTAATTTCCTCACAGAATTTACCTAAGTGGGTATCCAACTGCGTAATGGAAAATAATGAGTTAGCAATATTAGAGTTTTTTCTCTACGGCACAAGTAGCTCTTATTGCCTACTTAAATGCTGTGCCTATGCATAGATTTTTTTTAATTATTTTTAAAATACTTTTTCTTTTTTTTTGTTGTTTAGAATGTGTCTTAAGCTGGATTCCCATTTCTGAAGAGCTGAACAGCAATAATTTTTGAAATGGGGTTTGTCTTTACTCATACAAGCAGTTAAGTGTCTGCTAACTGAAGTGAAACATCTGTGCTTTAGTACCCTGAACAAAAAGTTCGTTATCTGCAGTCATTATGTTATTCCAAAAGGTGCTACAGAAAGGGAAACCATGACCTGTTTTATGTTTTGAAATAGCGGGGGTAGCTGCTGGCCCCTCTCAAGCTTTGGGAAATGCTCTGAGTATGAAAAGATACCGGTTAGCAATGTAATCCAGTCTCACATGCGGGGGATATGCATAGCGAAAGTGGATATTTTAGGCAGGAAATCTACAATTTATGTTTTCTTCATGGGCCTTGTGTGGATAATGTTGTCTGGCTTGTGTTATGAAGACACATGCAAAATCTGTGTAAGAGGCACTGTGTATCTTCTATATTATCCAGTCTCTTTGAATGAAAGATATATTATGCAACTATCTTTCTTTTGCTTTCATAGCGATATCACACCCCACCTCGATCGCGATCATGTTCTGAATCCGATGATGATGAGAGCAGTGAGACCCCTCCTCACTGGAAAGAGGAAATGCAGAGATTACGAACGTACAGACCACCTAGTGGAGAAAAGTGGAGTAAAGGCGATAAGTAAGTTCCTTATTACCAATTTAAAATGTCTCGTTTTGTTTACAGAAGTTTTAATACATTGTGTAGATGTACCGTGTCATTCATTTTTGAATAAAAAAATGTAAATATTTTTGTGGTTAATGCATTCCATTTAAATTCCAAAAAATTAGAAGTGGAAAACTTCCAATGTAACACCAGATGAACACATGCCGAAATGCGTCAGAAGGTCAGAAGTTTTGTTTCTGATGGTGCCATTTTGGATACTTATTTAAGAAGTAATTAATTGACCTGCCCAGTTTCCTGTTGCTTTCCATTGAGCTATTCATGTCAGATTTCTTTTAGCCTCAAACTTGGTTACGTGGTTTCTTTGGATACCAAATAAGACAATCGAATCCACCAACCTTATATTGGTTTACATGTTCTTTCTGCAATTGCAGACTCTGTGATGGAAGCCAGCTCTCCAGAATTCCTGATGTCTTGATACTAAATGAGATTCTATCAGGTTATGGTAGATAAACCTCAAAAGAAAAACTGAAGAATATTATATATAATCATTATTGAATAGTTGTAAATGTTACTCATAGTTCTTTTTATATACTGAGCGTGTTCTGTTTATTGCTGTATCGCAATGTACCAGCTAAAAGGCTACTAAATAAGATGATGTTTTAGAATTTGTATTTAAACATGGTTTAAGAATCCTATAATTGTAGAGGTTAAAGTCCTGTGGACTAGGGTAGTTAAAACCTTAAATCTCTTTACACAGGTTCTACAATGTGCAAAATCTGATGCTGGCTGATTCATTTATTTTAGAGAAGTAGCTCTTTTGATAATGATGTAATTCCTTATCTTAAAACAAGTGTAACAAGCTCAGTCAAAACAATTTTCTGGTAGTAAAGAGCGGGAGGATGGTAATTTTTCTTTAAAACTTAAATTACTTTTTCTTTAAAACTTAAATTACTTGTATTGGAGGTGGGGGAAAGTGCTTAGTTTATCTGAAATTTTTAAAGAATTTCCACTTAGCGTGGGGCTTATTTGTTTGTTTTCTAGGTTGAGTGACCCGTGTACAAGCAGATGGGATGAAAGGAGTGCATCCCGGAGATCAAGATCTTGGTCACATAACGGTTATTCTGATCTAGGTACTGCGAGATATTCTAGCCATCACAAAAAGCACCGAAAAGAGAAAAAGAAGGTGAAACATAAAAAGAAATCTAAAAAGCAGAAGCATTTCAAGAAGCACAAGCAAACAAAAAAAAAGAAAACATCAGCCTCATCAGATGTAGAATCCTCTCATTCCTTCCTCAGGAGGACAAAATCATCTTGTGATCGTGAGAGGAAATCTCGTTCTTCTTCATTGTCTTCCAGACACTCATCCAGAAGAGAGTGGTCTAAATCTGATAAGGAAGACCAAAGCTCATCAACTTTATCGAGCAGAGGGACTCGATCACACTACAGGTCCAGGTCCAGATCTAGGTCGAAATCAAGATCTTATTCTGGAAGAAGTTCTAGGTCAAGATCAGCCTCTAAATCATCGCGTTCCCGAAGTAGGTCAAGGTCAAGTTCTAACCCTAGGCAGCAGAAGACAGTTTCCAATTCTCCACGAAATATTTCAACACGGTTAAATGAAAATAAGTTGAACAAGACTGCTGAGCCTGTAAGAGCAGTTATACTCCCAAGTGATAAAGTTGTCGTACCACCAGTTGTCCCAGAAAACCTCCCTGTTATACCCTTAAGTGATAGTCCACCGCCTTCAAGGTGGAAACCTGGGCAGAAACCATGGAAGCCATCTTATGAGCGAATCCAGGAAATGAAAGCTAAAACAACCCATTTAATACCCACACAAACTAATTACAATTTAGTAGTCGTTAAAGAGGCTAACACTTCTTCCTCGTATCGTAAGCGACAAAGGAGTTCAGATAGCGATCGAAGCGGTTATTCCAGATATCGTAGTGACAGAAGCTCAGATAGTTGGCTGAGATCAAGAAGCAGGTCCTCTCGAAGCAGGTCATACTCAAGATCTTATACGAGATCTAGGAGTCCATCTAGCTCTAGGACAAAATCTCGTTCTTCTGGCAGATCACCTTCACTGAGTAAATACCGCAGCGACAGGTCAGGTTATAGTGAGTCAACATCTTACTATTCCCTTAGCGATGATGATAGACACAGAAACAAAAGAAAATCTGCATCAAGTGATCAAAAAGCTCGGTCTCTTAAACTGAGGCAAGAAACGAGCTCTGAAAGTATTCTCCCTTATAAGTGTGCAAAAGACTACGATGAGTCTTCACAAGGATTGAAAGAGAGTGACAGTTTGTCATCTTCAGACTTCTCTACTGACAGTGAGCGTTCTGCCAAAACAAAAAGAGTCCAAGAAAAAGAAGGCCGTTTTCAATTAGAAGAAGATACTCAGAAACAGGATAAAAATAGCTTAAGTTCTGAGAGAGGGGAAGAGAGGTCCAAGTGTGAGCGGGATTCTGATCGTGCTAAAAAGAAAGCAGCTAAAGAGAAATCTTCTGCGCAACCTAAAGGTGGTGCAAAAACCAAACGAAAATCCTATTCAGGTAGTAAATGGGACTCCGAATCGAATTCTGAAAGGGGGGAGGCAAGGCATAACCGGGGAGGTTCCAGACCCTCCTCTAGTAAAGAAGAAGGAGAGGCCACATCAGGATCTGATACAGAGCTTAGCGTTACCAAAAGGATTAAAAAACAATCAAATTCTTCAGAAGGCTTTCTGGATTCTGATTGTACGTGGAAGGCAAGCAAACAGTTGTCATCTTCTGAATCTGAGAGTTCTTGTTCTAGCTCAACAAACCTCAGAGGAAAGTCAAAAAAACACAAACATGGATTGAAAAAAACTCTTAAAAAATCACATTCCAAAAAAGCAAAAGAAAAATCAAAAGGGAAAAAGGAGAAGAAACACAAAGTACAGAAAAGAAAAGAAATGTTTCACTGGCAACCCCCCCTGGAGTTTGGTGAAGAAGATGATGATGAGATAAATGATAAGCCGGTTACTAAGGACGATAAAGAAGAAAAGCAGCTTACCGGGGACACGAAGGATAAAAACCAAGTTTATGAAAAGGATGAAATAGTCAAAGATAAGATGGGAAATGGTGAAAAGTCTTGTGTGGATGAAAACCTTTTAGGTAAAAACACCGTATGTGACACCTCACCAGATCACAGTAAGCCTAATAGAGATAGCATTGAAACAAATGTTTCAACCACTGTTTTAAGCTCAGGAATAAATGTGATGGCTTGTAAGAATGAGATTAAACAAGCTGAAGAAAGTAACCAGAATGGATTGGAAGATGTTATTCAGACAGATGACAACATGGAGATTTGTACGCCAGATCGTAACTCACCAGGGAAGGTTGATGAGGACATTTTGGCTCCTGTGATTCTCACTGCTAAACCTCAGGCTTTAAGTGCTAGTATAAACAAAGATTTACAGGTTGAGACCCCTGAACAAGATGTTGTCAAACTGGGAAACAATATTGTAGAATTCATTAATATTAAAGAAGAAAAAGAAACCTTGAGACCAGAAAATAACTCTGTCCCTGTGTCTAGTGCTAAAGACTGTAGTTTAAAAAGTGAAATTACTGAAAATACGCAAAGCAATATGATAGATAATAAATGGAAGCCTTTGCAAGGTGTTGGTAATTTACAGCCAGCAGCAATTAGTACTGCTGCAGAAGTTAAGAACATAGCTTCAGCTCCAGAGCCTAAACCAGCAGGTTTAAGAATTGAAATAAAAGCTAAAAATAAAGTAAGGCCTGGATCTCTGTTTGATGAGGTTAGAAAAACAGCACGGCTAAATCGAAGGCCGAGGAACCAGGAAAGTTCCAGTGAGGAAGAATCTCCAAGTAGAGATGACAATAGCCCGTCCAGGAGTCTCAGTAGGTCACGAAGTAAATCTGAGTCTAAATCCAGACACAGAACACGGTCCATATCTTACAGTCACTCAAGAAGTCGATCCCGAAGTTCTACATATTCATATAGGTAAGAAGTTTGTGCTATTCCCACAGCCTACAGTGTTCACTTGAAAGGGTTGATATTTTTAGAGCATGTTTTAATTTTTCAGCTCACGTTTTTTTAAACAGCACTGTATCATTTAGCGAGTACAGAATAAATACTTAGCTTAAAAGATAAAGCTTTATAATGCTGTTGATTCCTGTTTTCTGCTGTTCTTCTCTTTGGTTATGTTCTACTTCGTGCTGTTCAAAGTTGTTCATTGATTGTAGGTCAAGAAGCTATACAAGAAGCCGAAGCAGAGGATGGTATAGTAGAGATCGGTCAAGAAGTCGAAGTAGTTCCTACCACAGTTACAAGAGTCGTAGGTAAGCTTCTAGTGTTGGGGTGTGTTACAAAAACAGTATTTAAGGCACAGCAGTCCAGTGCTTTGGACTCTGAGCAAGTTGGAAATGCGCTTAGCTATGCGTACCGCAGTCTAAAGTATCTACTTGAAATGTGCAAGATGGGAATAGTCAGATTTCAAAATTTCCTGTTACTGGAAAATAATTTTGTTCAATGTTTTGTAGTATGGATAAGGAATTCTGATCAAAACATGTTCTTCTCCTCTGGCTCCCCCACTCCTCCCGCTCTCTTCAGCGCTTCTTTTTGATTAACTTAAAATGTCTCTGTGGTTTTGTTTTTGTCAGTCGAACCTATAGTAGAAGTAGATCCAGAAGTAGTTCTTATGGTCATCACAGTCGATCCAGGTATGGATTATAGTTTTATACAAACTGCAATAAATGTACTTATTATAAACGTACCTTAGTATAAGAATATCCCTTTATTTATGCTGCTTAAAAATACAATATCATGATAGCAACTTGAATCAAAGCAAACTAACATAAGACACTTAAAAGCTGAAAATAACTAAATTATCCTGGCATTACAGTTATAGGTGATGATATGAGGTAAGTAATAGTGAACACATTTCCCTTTATTGTTAAAATAAAATTGAGTTATAAATGGAATCACTTTGTTACTTGTTTTCAGAAGTATTAGCAATCAAGATTTTTACTGCATCTACAATTTGTCGTAAGTCTTTTTTCTAGGCTAATAAATCTGAGATTTTTGCTGTTCTTTTGAAGATACTTTTTCTTGTATTTAAACGTTTATAAAATGTGGAACTACTGTTCGCCACATCCTTCAAAAGTAATTTCTATATAGCCACTTATCTCTGTATATAAATGTCTATAAAACATACCTTTAAAATAAACAGCATTTTAGACAAAAATTGTAATTTTACAATTACTTTCTTTTCCCTTCGAAGTAGGTCATACACGTACGATAGTTATTATAGCAGAAGTCGAAGTAGAAGTAAAAGGAGTGACAGCTATCGAAGATCCAGAAGTTATGATAGGCGATCCAGGTATGTGTTTTGCTAGCATGGCTTTGCTAGCAAAAAGAAAGTGCTAAATACATACTTATGATGTTCATGAAGGCTATTTTTTTTTTTTCCCCCAAACATAAAAAATATATTGTTACCAAAAGTATTAATTAAAAACAATTAAAATTAGAGCAAGTGTGCGAATAAAGAAATCGGAATTTCTGACATACTAAATTTGAGGATGGGGAGGAAACCCTGCTTTCCCTAGAAAACTCTCTCTAGAAACCCTAGGAAGATTTGAGAAGGCTCCGGCTCATTGTATGTATGCATTTAAAGTAAGCATGTTTGGGGTGTTTTAATAATTGTAGATGTTTCTCAAAAACTACAGTGAACTAGCTCTGAGGGTTTAAATCAAGTGCCCTGTTATGGGTTAAAAGCTACCTAGCATGCGAAGAATTCCATTGGATGGTAAATTCTTTTTGGTTAGACTGGAAAGGTGGATTTAAAAAAAAAAAAATGGAAGGGAAATTAAAAATCGTAGTGCTACCCAGAATTTATTTTTAACTTCCTAGAATGTATTTTGAAAGAACATTTTTACCAGCACATCCAGTGGGCTTCCTATGAATTTAGGATAAATTTGGTTCTACTGAGTCCAGGGGAATTATACGGGTATAAGTGAGCACGTTTCACAAAGATCAGAATTGGAACAGGATGGAGATAGATGTGGATTTTTTTTATTTTTTTTTAATATCGGTGATGATTTGTTTTGTACCTTTTAAAATGCCCCACATTAGTCAGTGGTAAATCGGGCAGATCTCCAACACTACTGTAAATATTCATCCTCTGCTGTCCTCATACTCATTTTTTCACAACTTTGTACCGACTCTTAATGCACTTTGCTCTCACACATTTCCACATCTATTTCTGACAGTAAGACAACCTTCATCTTGTGTTTGAGGGGAAATAATGAGATTAAAGAAGAGTGTGGAAATAGACTCACAAAATCATTGTTTTAGGATGTTGGGAAGCTTCAGAGAAACAATGTTGGATTAGGATATGCTCATCTTCCAATTAGAAAGCTTTTCTTACGGGCACAAGGCTAGAAAATCTCTGAGAAGAGTTTATTCTGTGTAATTTGAATATGTCCTGTGGCTTGTCTGAAACCATCTGGACTCTATCTTGATGTTCGGCCAGGTGCTGAGCTTGGAATTCTTCTGGATAAGCCAAAACTTTTTAATCTACAGCTTCCACTCTGCAGACGTTCACATACTCCTGTTGTTATGTTCTTAAGACCCTTCTTCAGATGAAAAACTGCAATATGTAAAGCAAGGATTTGGGAAATTTTCTTAGTTGAGAAACGTTTGCAATATAAAATTATATTTGTTAGCATATACTTCTCAGTCAGCTATTAGCATTTACAAAAACAGTAATTGTGGATGATTTCTTAGCTGTATTGGAGAAAGCAAGACATTTTGTAGTGACAAACACAGTTTGACTGGAGTTACACAGGATTTTCATCATGTAAAGCTAATGACTATTCTAATTTTGTGTCCTGTAATGAATATTTCTGTTATGTGAAATATGATCCTGTAGAAGACTTCTTGTATGTTTTCTTCTTGTCTTGTGCGTGTCTGTCTTGACAATTTTTTTACATGACTCAATTTTGAATTTGAAACTTAAAATACAATTTTGAGGCATTTTAATCTTTTCTTTGTAGGTCTTACGGCTCTGACAGTGAAAGTGATCGCAGTTACTCTAACAATCGAAGTCCCAGTGAGAGCAGCAGATATAGCTGAAAAGGTTTCTTTGACGATGGAAACTATTTAATAATTTTTTTCAGTGTTATGTTAAAAAAAAACCAAAACAAAACAAACTGTTTTGACAGTGTCACAAGTGAAGTTGAAGGGTGTTTACCAAGTTAGCTGAAACTTTACCATTTATCAATGAACTTGCTTGACTGACTGTGTACATATGGAGAGAAGTACTGAGCTCAACTCAACTGACCTTTTTTTTTTTTTTAATGTCAAAAGCTACTTTTACAAAATAGAAAAAGAAACAGTTTTATTTCATTGAGTTGAATTTTCCAAGCCATGAATGACACTTAAGTGAATTTGCTGCCACCGCTTTTCTGGGTGCAGCAATTGGTACTGTCTTCAAGTATGTTTATAAACAATTTAGGGCTTTCTGCCGGTTACTATTAAATATATCCTAGCAACTATAAAACTGTGAAGAAAACTTCTTACAAAGGCTGCCATTTCTAGTTTATTAAAATGCGCTTTGTTTTTTAATGCTGGGAGATGGGTTCCCTGCTGTCTTGTTTGTTGGTTATTGCATTATGTACAGCATATACGCAACAGCGAGGTGATGAAAACGAAGACCGCCGCTCTGTCTTAATCCTTCCTGTACTGTGATTCCGCAGAACACTGCTGAAAAGGGTGAGATTCCACACAATGGGAACTGTCAAACTGACAAGCAGCGAGCGAAAGGAGGATCAAGGAGTTTTGATCTTAATATCCAACTTGTCTAAACTTTTATGTTTGAAAGTGGATTTTGTGATAAAACAGCAATGTTCTTAAGAGTCTAAAAAAAGTGTTTCTAAACACTTTTTGAATTTCACTTCAATTCGTATTATAGTGCTTGGCATACTTAAACTCATTTTGAAGTTGGATGTTGTAAATTGTTGAGTATATCATGAGTTTGTCCAAAACACTTTGTAAAAAAGCTTAAATAATGATAATTTTTTTGAGGGGAGAAAAAACCCCACAATATAATGGCTCCTTTATAAAATATCTATAGATGTAGACGATTTGCCATAGGGAATATCAGATACTGATATTGCAGATACTGAACTATATATTGTTAAAGTGGTATGACTGCAAAAATACTGGTATGCCTGGTAAAAAGCATGGACAATACTTTCCAAGTAAAGTTTAATACCAAAAATGACTCCATGTTACAGGTAAATGGTTTGCAAAAAATCCATAGATTTAAGCTGAAGAGCATTGAGTAATTTTTGCAATATTCTGATTGAGTTGATTTGAAATAATTTGTAAAGTTTTTCAGTGTTTAGAAAGTTGTGTACTAAGAAACAGTTTTTTAATGACATAATGTAACCTGAAAAGTGGGGTCTGTAGTGAACAAAGACTAACATAGCTTTATTAGAGCTAATGAATACTGTTGTATTATAATAGTTTTCATTACTGACTTTCTGTAATATCTTGAGATGCTTTCATTTTCTCAAATGTTTTCAGATATTGAATTTATTTTTTTTTTAAATCTCATCAGGACCCAGCGGCTTTGAAAATTAAAAGTCGTAATTTCTTGCTTAGACGTCAGTTCGTACTGTCTCTTTTGATTGAATTAAGCCATCCAAAATTAGCTTTTGCTACACTTCTGAAACATGAAAAGTTCAAAGTGAAGTTTGAAGACTGTAACGATGCCCTCCATTTCTGTCTGCGAACAGCTGAATAAGACATTTGTACGCAGGTTCCTAAAACTGAATTTGTCGTAGGTTTCTCACTTTCTAGAAGAACCCAAAATTCTGGACTTCCAGCACCCTTCCCGCTCCTGTAGTTCAATGAAAAAGCGCGTGCACGTGATCCTTTGGAATCAATATTTTGTAACCTTCTTAGGCTTTTTAACAGTACGTACATTTGTTACTCATTCAGTATACATTTGCAGACAGGTTTCTAACAGTAGCTGCCATTTCAGACTCCTGAACAAATACTTAATTGCTAACTCAAGGTAATGTTTGTTGCCATTTCAGAGTTTGAAATACAAAAGTAACTTGTTTCTTCCCTTACTGAGAAAATAATACCGGTGAGTTAGTTGTGTAACAAAATAACAAATATGAACATCCCCTTTCAATGCTTCTTGGAGGAAAAAACTGCTACAGAATAGGACTTTCTCCTATTTCAGATCTGAGCTGACTTTTTTTTTCTCTTAAGGCTGGGAAAAAGTAACAGAAAGACCGTCCATCGATGAATTGCTGCAACGTCACCAATGTCTGTTTCATATCTTGAATTAAAGCTTTATGAAGAAATTCCATCTGGCAGGTGGTTGGGGAGCGATGTGAGGGAGGGGGGAATATTTTTACTTGGTGAACTCTGTTAAATTGTGCTTCGGATAGAAAATGTACCCCGAGCTGGTTTTCTAATGTTGCTCTCCGTTTTTGCAATTTTGTTATTCAAAAGTAGTTGCTGTTTGTAAAATAAACTTTTGTACATATCTGCAAATGCTGTTTTCTCTGCATCTGGAAAATTCCGTTGCTGCTTAAGGGAAGTGGGCAGGAAAATTAAAAGTACACTTTGATTTCTGTATCCGCTTTTGTCCCTCGCAAGACTCCGTACAAGTTGCCTTTCCTTTTCCTGACCTACATCGAGAATGATTCCTCAGCAAGACTCCATACCGGGTTTACATAACAGTCATTGGAGGAACAAATATTTTGAAATTCTCGAGTGATTTGAGGTCTCACCGTTTCCTCAAGGTACATAAGAGGTTCCTAATCCTTTGTGCAAAGATACACTGAACAGATCTGCGCGGAAATCTCTAAATGTGCTGAGTTTAACTACTTTGCTAAATATTCTTTCCCAAATACACATTCCCACAGCATTTCCGCAGCATATTGGAAACGTGGTATTAGTTCAAGTCAGCAGATGCAGTGGCTCAGCGGACTAATCCATTAGTCTTCTCGACCTTCTGTTCCAGAAAAACTGGATTTCATTGGAAATTACCAGTTCTGTCCTAATGGAAAGGCTAATTGCCTTGGTCTGAGGTAAAAAGAACAAGTGCAAGTGTTTCCTCTTTGTTCGATTTAAGTCTTTAGTGCCATCCGGTTAACCTGGCACTTCCCAAACTTCAGGGTGCTACCTTGGAGGAGGAGACACAAGGAATCCTACGCAGGAAAAGTAGGAACTCTGGGTGATATGAACTATAGTGATGAAATGTGTTTAAAAAAAAAAAAAAAAAAAAATAAAAAATTGTAATTTAAGGTAGGAGAGGGGTGAATGGTGATGGCAAAGACAGCAAACCAAGAAAAATTAATCTGAGTGATGTTGGACAGGCTCTGTGCTGCGCTGGAGAGTGGGACAGTCTCCCTCATTAAAGAGTTATGCAGTTAAAAGACAGGTTGTTGCCTAATGTGGGGTTTTGTGCTTAAAATACCCTATTCAGTGCAGAAGTTAAACGTCGGGCTCTCGGGGCTGCTCTCAGGTGTTGCTGCAGAGGTCGAGCCGTCCCCATGAGCTGTCCCCAGCAGGAGGCAGGCAGCGGTAAAAATAGAGCGGCTGACACCCGGTTATCTGTTAGAGACTGGTTTTGTCTATTAAAATAAGGCTCAAATCCTGCAGCGTAGGGAAATTATTACTCGAGTAGAAGTGGGGAAGTTGTAAGTAAGCTTAGCTCTGCGTGCCTGTGGTTGGTTTTGGTGATGGATGACGCCGTGCACGGCACGGGGAATACCGTGGTGCAGCTCTGGAGGAAGAGGCTCTCTGTCTCCCATTGCAGGTGAGCGACTTCGCTCGTCTAGAATAAGGCGATATTAAATGAACCCTCTGGCTGCTAAACAACTGCTTTTAGAGCACGTATTTACAAAGCGGCAGCATAAATGCGCTTTGCCTACAATAACGGCACGCTGAGAGGTTTCCTCCCTGCTCCGTCACCGTTAAACAAGGGCTGTTTGTGTCCTTGCGCTGGAGGGGGAGATGCGTCCGAAGCGCGCTCTCGGAAGATCACCAAGTAGCTGACGGCGGATTAAATTTCTGTTGATGGCTTTGTGTGGTTCGCACGGATCACGCGTACAGTTTGGAGCAGAGAACACAGTATTTAGATGACCTTGAGCTGCACTCTGGAATCCATCTGGTGTCATTTCCAAACCGAACGCTGCCTGGGATTTAAATCATGAGAAGATAAAGCTTCCCGTGCTCCGCCCCTACTTAACAGCCATATAAATAATTTTAATTTCTTTCTTTTTTTTAATATGGTTGTGAAACAAATTATTCTCCACCTGGTTTTAAAATGCTTTTAGCTGCTTAACTCTGGTAACTTAATTTTTAAATGGTTTTATCTAAACAATTAAAGGGACCTGGTATTGAATTTAATAATGTCGGTGTAATTCTGCTGAAGTTGATAGGGTCGCATGCCTGAAATCAGACAGTCTGTGCCAGTTTGGGGGTTCTTTTTGTAATGAAAGTAATGTTTCAGAGTCGCAGTGGATGGAGGGGGGGAGCATTAATTTGGTATTAATTGAGACTTCGCTGTGATTTGTAGCTGTCGTTGACAGAGCTGTGGTGCAGCCCGAGAAAACTGATGTCCTCACCCAAAGGATGGTCTAACATGGAGAGTGCGAAGGTCAGCGCAGCTTGTGAACTCTTGTCCCTCCCACCCTGGCATGATGTCCTAGCCCTGGCCTTAGACTGCAAAATTCCTTAATTAATTCCCTGTGCCAGGGGCTCACCACCCTCAGAGTAAAGAATTTCTTCCTGATACCTAATCTAAATCTCCCCTCTTTCAGTTTAAAACCGTTCCGCCTCGTCCTATCCCCTATATGTCTTTATTTGGAATAAAGAAAGCTTTTTGTTTTTTCAATCAGTGTAGCTATGTCAATTTTTATATGGTCATACTCACTGTCACAGAACTTCAAGGGAAAGGGAGGCCAGCGCTTTCCAGGCAAATCCCACCTTCGGTGTCCCCTCAACATGGCCAACCCGAGTGCCGCTCATTTCTGATTGAAGCCATTCCCTGCCTGATGTGCCTCGCTGTCAGAAAATACAGAATCGTAGAACCGTCTAGGTTGGGA